GCCGCCCCCGGCATATGGTGCACGGAGACAAAAGCAGCAGCAGCAGCGGGGCTGGCGGGGAGCTCCGCTCGCACAGCGCCCGCGGGGAGCCAGAGCGCGGAGCGCATCGGGCCCGAGGCCACGGGGATGGGCTGAATGCCACTGAGCCCCCAGCCGCTGGGCAAAGCAAGAGCCCATGAGCACCTGCAGGCTTCCAGCAGAGATGGAAATGCTCCTGTCCATGCTCAGCCTGGGCAGCGGCCCGCAGCCGAGCCAGCAGCCCGTGCACGGGCTCCGGACACTGTGCGCAAGCGCTGGCCCCGCGCAGTCCCTGTCGGTACCGATTGCTTAAGCAGCTCATGGGCCGACGTGGGAGCAGTGTCACCAGCACAGGAGAGAGGGAGAGGATGGCAGCACCTCTCGTGCACCCAGAGCAGAGTCGAGCTGCACGCTGGCTGCAGAAACGAGCCGAACTCCTTCCCCCCAGGAAGCCCATGCGGTGCCTTTTCCACTCTCCAGGTGGGATCACTTGCAGACAGCAATACAGGAGCTTTCAGGAACACCAAGGGGTCAAGCTTGCCCTGGTGCCCGCACACCGAGCCACTCTCTGTCCCGGCCCCTCCTGCTCACCAAACTTCTCATTCGCAGCAAGAGAGCAGCGGGAGCACCACTACAGACCCCAGGGGAGCCCCAGTGCTTCGGGAAACCGACACAAAGTGGATGTTTCAAACCAATGTCAAGAGGATCCATAACAAAACTGCTCTGAATTAGAGGGGGGTTGCTGCGAGGTGGCTGGACAGTGTCTAGCAGCACCTTCATAGGGACAAGTAGCCCCTGCAACCCCAGTGGGTCCCGAGGCCCATCAGGGTTTTGTGGGCACTGCCTGGAGAGCTTGGGGACAGCAGAGGGCACAGGGTGAGGGGGAGGAGCAGGGACTGCTGCAAAGAGCCAGACAGTAGCCACACGCCACTATGGCCAGGGCTGCCTCCGCCGGCATCGCCCCGGTGCGTCCCCAGCAGGACACTGGCTCTGCGTGGTTGGGATGGTCACTCGGGCTCTGCGGGGGCTGGACCAAGGGGTGCTGCTGAGTGTCCCCAGGGCTCCCAGGCAGGAGGGAGCCCCATGGCCGCGGTGGGGACACCCCCAGCCCGGAGCCGGGGCGCAGCGCTTACCTGGGCAGAGGCATGCGGGCCGTGATGCTGGCCACGATGATGCTCTCGGGCCGCGGCGTGGCCACGGCCTTGAAGGTGCCGCGCCAGAACTTCTCGAAGAGCTGCTTCTCGCCCTGCTGCACGCTG